TTGTAATCTACCATGTTCCTAAGCACAGGTGAATCAAGTGTGTGTGCATTTCCTCATAACCTTCTGTTAAGTTGAAGCTGTTCATTTGTGATCTTATTTTCAGCCATCCCAAGTGTTGTAGCTGACTGTAGGCAGAGCATGTTTTTGAATGTGTTGATTCGGTTAGTTTCAGTGTGAATAGAAATGTGGGTTGCTGCAGAGGCCCACTTTCGCCCTCAGGTCTGTGATACACCCACATCCACCTAGGAGCGAACCATCTGTGTGTCCCTGATGGCATGCTGGCACTCTGGCTGTCTGGGTCGGGGACAGGGACACGAACAGCCGGCTCCGCATTGCCCCAGCCGCTGCCTCTTCTTCCTCCCTCGCTGCCCCGCAGTTTGCTGCAGTTTGCTGCAGTTTCCTCTGTGCCCGGGCTATTTGTGCCATGGTAACTGTGCCAGGCTGCCAGCTCAGACACAGATTCCACCTCTCGTCTCCCTGTTTGCCAGAATGATGACTCAGCAGCTCCTGCAGGGCTCCCAGCCTCCTCCCTCCTCTTCCTCAGTGATACACTATGCTCATCAGACAAAGTAGTGTTTTATCGTTCTCTCCTTCAGCGTGACCCGAATACAAAACCGACCTAAGTAATAAAGACTTATACTTTTGTTTCGAAATGTCACAGAGAAACAATAAATGGTAGTGGAATATCACGTTTGAAATGACACTTGAAGTTATAGTATATAGAGTGTGTAACAACACCTCAAATGTATTTAAATTGTGATTACTGTCTACATGCGGGTAGTGTGGGTCCTTTTGTACCAGTCGCATGAGTTTTGAGTGACGTCCTAATCATCTTGTGCTTTCCAAGATCTCCCTCTTAGAGGAGATCACTGGAAAGAGTTTGGGTACGAAATATGGCGTCATAAAACGGGAGCCTTGATATGTAAGATCACTTTCAAGTCCCTCCAGCAGCACTCAGCTGGAGCCAATCCTGACATACTTTTCATCGGGCCAACTATTTAGCTCCGGGACTTGAGCTTAATGTGGTTTCTTCATGTGTAAGGATCGTGCTTATGCATCTCCGAGGCACTGATATCGTCATACTAAATACCAGTGGTGGGCAAAGTATGTCGATTATTTACTGAATTAAAGGCTTCATCCATACAAGGTAGTCGATTTTAAACATCGTAGTCTTCCATTCGTTATATAAAGTAAAGGAACAGAAGTCACTGAATATAACATATTAGTATACTTGTATCTTAGTACCGCACTTGATTTATTTTCTCCCACTGCAAATCATGGACTCCAGACACAGAATTGTTAACCAACTGCCTGACCTTTCACAAAGAGAAGTAATGATCATAATGCATTGTAAAACAAACAGCTTACATTGTTGTGTGAAATAACAATTGTCTACATTTTAAATCTTCTAGAACATGTAACCCTGAATTATACTGTAGGAAGACACATTGGATTATTAATACCAACAGCAGTACACATGGGAGAATATATCTTTTAATTACCATGTGGTATTTATACTGGTTTCATATTGCAACACCACATCAGAGGATATAGGAAGAGGGAATAAAAGAGAAGAAGGGGGTTGAGACAGATATGGGGGGGAAATGAGAGCACACCCTTGGCAGGATGTCAGCTCTGTGAACACAATTCAATATGCAGGGACAGAGAGCTGCAACACACACACACACACACACACACACACGCACACAGACTCATACACACAGCGCCATAAAGTTGTCTTCTCAGATCGCAATCGGTTGTGCAGATGCTAGCCTTGCCTCTCTTCTTTCCAATAATCCTTTCTGAGGTTTCCAATGTCAGGGCTAGTGCTGGGTGGGTATTCATCAAGCTAAGCTGTTAGCTGGCTTAATGATATGTTACCAGCTAGCTGTGCGTCATACGTGGATAGGTGGATAGGTGTGGATTAGTTTGTTTACTGTAATTGCAAAATGAGCTGTGTGGATAACAATGAAAACATTAATTTGTTAGGTCATGGAATCCCCTGACGCCCCAAGATGCAAAATTATCGCATTATAGTTTATTTTATCATTAATAGAATAAAACATTGCTACCAGACGTGCGTGTAACGATTATAATATTGTCACCCAAAATATCGCAATACCATTCTGATGATTCCCCCCCCGTCCCTGTAATATATGTGTAAATTAGGGCTGCAGCTAATGACCTTTTTCGCTGTTGATTAATCCGTTGACTTGTTTCTTGACTACGGCTGGAGCCACATGAGGACGATAACGCAAACGGACCGCAATCGTTATCAAAAAAGTCTTCCGTCCACACGCAACAGGCACCAGAAACGTGTCCGTTCACACGAGACCGCTCGAAAGCGCTGGAGACGCTGTAGTACATATGCCAGGCCTGTAAGTGGCGCTGTAGTCCTGCCACAAAAGCAACGAAGAAGACTTCCGGAGCATGGTTCCCCTTCTGTTTATTCTCCGCTGTGGACGCTCTGGCTCTTTTTCTCCCTCCCCGAGGCAAGCGTTTGCTCCTGCTGCTGTAAATCTTCCGGACAAAATTTGAAAAGTGCCGATCAAAGGTCTTCTTTGTCATTTATTGAGCTTTAAAACAAATGAATAACGACTCTATATAATAATAAAAAACGGAGCCTCTCTTTTCCTCCCCCTCTTCTGACAGCCCAGCAGCTGATCTCTGAGCAGGAGAGGTGGGGAGAGGCGGGGCTATTGCTTCAACGTTATCAGGAAATGATCGTATAGGCGTAAACACGGAGCCGTTTGCCCCCCCAGAGCATTTCGTTTGCAGATCTTCCCACCTTGGGACCCGTTATCGTTATCGTTTTCTGCGTTTCCATGTCGGCCTCGTGTGGCCGAACCGTCTATCTGATAGTGAACAGTAGCAGATACGACCGTTATCGTCCTCGTGTGGCCGGGGCTTAAGCCATTAGTTGTTGGTCTATAAAATGTCAGAAAAAGGTCAACATTTTTATCAGAGTTTCACAATTCCAAGATGATATCCTCAAAAGTCTTAGTATGTCCACAACTTTGGGAAAAAACGAGGGGATCAATGAAGTATCTATCTATCTTTGAAGACAATTGGTTAACACTTATAGAATATTTACATTTAGGGAGCTGGAATCAGAGAACTTGAATAGTTGATTTTTCAAATAGATCTTTGTCGCTTCAGTGTGCAAATACATAAAATAACATATGTTGAAGATCACACAAAAGCCCTTACTGTTCCTCAAAGCATTGACTTCATATTTGCTGTGTCGATAAAGACAAACGCATAACAGAAGCGCTAAGCGGCTTGGACATGTGGCTCACTGCTTATGAAAGCTTATTTAAGACAAAGTGTCTGTGTGGGAGAGGTGAATTGAGACAGATCATTTTAGTGCTCCATGGAGGTTCTTTCAGCTGTAAATGTAAATGTAAACAAAATACAGCAAATCATTAACCTAACTAATTGCAGCCATTAAACGGAGCTTCATGACATGCTCTACTTAGTTAATTGAGGTGAGTTATTGACCTGTCGGCGGCGTGCGAGTCAGGGTACCTTGCTGTTTTCTTCTACATGACTGTTGTATGAGTCAATATATAAAGATAACCAGTCAGACAGAGACACCTTTTCTAAGTGTTATCCCCAGACGATTGTCTTTCCTCGTCTGATTATCTCTTTATCCTGTTTCCCCCCCCCGGCCCCTGTCTTTCCTGTATCCTGGCCAACCGTCCCCCACCAGCATGGTGCCCTTCTTCCCGCTCTCCCCCTGGGCCCTGACACCAGACACCTCCTTGCCCCCTTCTCCCTCCCTTTTTCCTCACTGTTGCAGCCCAAATATCTCTCTCACATTGGCCCCGTTCTCTGCCCTTCTCTGACCCACTGTCCCCCAGTTGCCCCCTGGCTATACCTCCCTTGCCTCTTCATGCCCTCCTGCCCGCTCCCTGCCCCCATCGCTGCTCCCCGGTCCAAAGGGAGCAGACAGAGCTGCTGATTATCTCTGTGTGGCAGCCTCTGTTTTGTGCTCTGATTAAAGGAGCAGCATGTGGTCTGTGTGTGAGCGGCCCGTACAGACGCCGCCGTTGGGCTAATGCTAGCATGATGTGCTTAATCATTTATGTCTGGGAGACGGGCACAAAGGCTTGGAGCGGATGGAGGTAGGGGGGGGGGGGGGGGAGCGCTGGGGTATTTATCAGTGGCACAGATGCACTCAGGCGCGCACACACATGCTTCCAAGATAACGGCCCCGGTGCTTAGTATGGCATAAACGGGGCACGCTGCAGGCTACGACGTCTCCACAAAACTCACATATCATTGTTTTCAAATGGGTAGCTGGCGGTGTATTTCTCCCTTGAGTTGATGGTGTGAATTAAACTGGTGGGCTGTTAAAAATCTATCACTTGGAAAAACAAAACAAACATATCAGCATGGCGTATGTGGACTATACTGCAGACGCATTAAATATTGAAGGATCAGACTGTCTCCAGGTCTCTAAACGATAGTATTTGGGCTCCCAAAGTCCCCCCACTGTGCTCCTCTCCTCTTCCTCCTCCTCTTCCTCAGTCGTCTGTCTGCTCCTCTCCCCTCACTACCAAGCAGCCTGTCCCTCCAACACACACAGACTGCGCCACGCACGCCCGCACACACACACACACAGGCAGCCAATAAGAGAGCACCAGTCTCCCCATTGCTTGCCACTCAATGCCTTGTTGCCAGGACAACAGGAAGGCATGAGACCCACTTTACTTTAGCATTTTAAACTTGGTGTTGACTCTTTTTCTGAAAACAAGAAAAAGGTACTACTGCTCTCTCGTTTAATCTCGACATAGAGCAAGTTATCTGTGTTTCTTCTGTCTGTCTCGCTGACTCGTGTCCCAAAAGATGTTTTACAAAACATCCCACGGTATTTTAATGCGTCAGTTTTAAAAAGTGGCTATGTTTTGCTTGAGAGCAGCGTCAGACCCATTTTGCATGCCAAATAACACATAGTGCAGAACTAATCTGTGTGTTTCTTCTTTATCTTCCCTTAGGTCTAGAATGATGGTTGGGGACATGTTTCTCCTGGTGTTGATCGCCCTGGTGCTTCCCTGTTCTAGCTTGGAAGGTAAGCGTTTTCCCACAAACACAGCTTGTCTCAAGTTCATGCGGTAGCTGGAAGGGTGTGTACAGGATGTCTCTGTTCCCTCTATACTCTTTCAGTCTGGTTAAACATACACACACTCTTTCAGACTCAGCGTCTTTCCCTTTATCCTTCAAGTCTGTTACACGCATAGACAATTTTTTTCCCCTTTCACTATCACTACCCCTCCCCAGTCTGTCTCCTTTTCATCTGCTGTCTGAGACAACTGCAGTGGTGTCTGAATGCAGTGGAAAGAGGAGCTTTTTTACTATGGCAATCCACACCTTTTGCTTATAATAGATATACGTGCATTAAGGCTGCATCATATGGGGAAAATATGCAATAAGCCATTACATTGTTGCATATCACAACAACGATACTATTTAATATAAACAAACGGATGTTAAAATGGGCTCCATTCTGATTTTTGGCTGCTTTTTTGTATACTTATAATGCAAAAATGTGACAAATGGCTTATGAAAGTACAATGAAAGGCCTTTTTTTAAGTGCAGTTTTGTACTAATATTCTCTAAAAAAACCTGGGCAATATCACAAGCTTTCGTGGTGAACGATGACGATGATGATGATAAAAAATCGATGTATTGTGCAGCCCAACATGCATTCTTACAAGATAAGGGATAAGCACCAATCATCTGTTGTCACAAAACATTTCGGAGCATGTTAGAGATTAAAATCCTTCTTAGCTTCAGCTCTCGTTCTTTTTTCAGTAATGAATTCTGACCTGCTCTGCGATTGCTTTTTATTGTAGATGTCCCTGTGAGGAACTGTGTGTGTGACGGAGCGCCCTGCAGCAGCGGGGACCGGTGTTTTGGGCAGCAGTGCTTCACCTCTCTTTCCATACTGAACGGGACAGCCACCTTCCAGAAGGGCTGCATTGTGGGTAATGAGGAAGGGTCCTCGAGATGCGGAAACCCACCAACTCCTGAGCTGGTGGTAGAGTGCTGCAATGTGGATTTGTGTAACATGAACGTCTCCTTGCAGTCACCAGTAAAAGGTGAGGTGTTTACATCCCATCCCTGTGTGAAAAATATTCTGCTTATAATACTGTAGGATTTTCCTTATTTCTGCTATAAAACAAATGCTGTTCAAAAATGCACTAAAGTATTATTTATTTTCAGTCAAAACTCATGCTTTTAAACTGACTTGATGTGACTCTTCTGTCAGCTAGCAGAGATTCTGGTGTTTGCTGATCTGAGTGAATGCCATTTAATTTAATGGGCTGCTAATGGTATTGCTCTAATGTGTTTCCCCATATCTCTATTTCCTCTTATCAGATATAGAGCTGTCTGCTGGCAGACCAGTCCTCAGAGACCAGGAGTGTGTGTGCGAGGGCGGTGTGTGTGAGCTTGACCGCCGCTGTGCAGGCCAGCACTGTTTCTCCTCTCTGCAGATGACTGATGGGGTGGCCGTCCAACAGAAGGGCTGCCTGAGGGACGACGAGGAGGGCAGAGCCACCTGCGCCATGCCGCCCTCACCCGGACATGTTGTCAAGTGCTGCCAGGGCCATCTGTGTAACATGAACGTCAGTGTGCAAGCTCCGGGGAAAGGTGAGTTTGTACATGTTGTACACATAGCTCAGCTGCCATTCACAATGCACCTAATGTCACCCACAGCAATTTCAAACTTTCATTTCAATTTTTATAACGACATAAAAAGCTATATGCCTTTTTTTTGTGGAAACATCTTTAAGTTGACCCTTATAATATGGATAAGAAGAAGAAAAAACATGGACAATCAACAAACTGAACAATTATTACAATTATACATAATAAAGGATATAAATATGATTAAATACAAATGACAAAAACATAAATTCACAGCCAAAAGTCAAATGAGTTAGTTTACAATAGTGCAGGAATAACCTACATAGTTTCCTAGTTATTAACCAGCCATGTCTTCTTCCTAAATCTCTTTCAGAGGAGGAGGTGAAGCGTCTGACCAAAGAAGAGCATGAGTGCGTGTGTGAGGGCAGCACTTGTGCCACAGGGAACCGCTGCCTGGGCCAGCAGTGCTTCTCCTCTCTGACCGCCAGCGCCGGATCCCTCATGTACCAGAAGGGCTGCTTCACCAAATATGAGCAGGGCACCATGACCTGCAAGACCCCCCCTTCCAGAGACCAGATTGTGGAGTGTTGCTACGGGCACCTGTGTAACATGAACAGCACTGTGGAGCTGCCTGTAAAAGGTACAGTGCTACACTACCCAGAATGATTTGTTCTGCACGTCTCTATGCCAAAGAAACCCATTTACCCCATTTCGGACAATTTCATCAATTCCGATTAGGAAAAGCCATGTGGCTTACGTATGAGACCAAATTATACCTTTTTATTCTTTACCGAAAGGGCTAAATCTGGGCTGTGAAATATTCTGCCACTTCTGTTCAGGATGTTTTCTGTTGGCCTTAATTATAGGTCACACTGCTGGCTGCCTTTCACACAAAAACAGGGAAGGCAGTGTGCAATCAAAGAGAGGTTTTGAATATGATCATACAAAACACCACTTTAAATCTTGTCTTTACCAGAGATGTGCCAACGTTTCTTGGAAATGATTAATTTGGGATGAAATGAGCATTGATCGGCTATAAAATCTTGATCGCTTATAAAGAAAATGGGAAATTAGTCTACTAAAAGGGGCCAATCCTATATTAGGGTCTAGCTTATTGCATCCCGGCTCATGTGTTCGGTTCAAGGCTAGTCAGTTCCTACAATGTGTAGCTATTAATGTGTATTTGGTAGAAACAGTTCATTATAGGAGTTGAGAAAAGGGGATCATTGTCTGTGCTGCAGGCAGAGCTGAGCAGGCGTTCCCTTGGAATGTTTGGAAAGTGTGAATAGTGGTCAGTTCTCCAGGCTGGCCTCTGCTGCCTGGATGAGATCTGCACTGAATGTGTGTGTGTGTGTGTGTGAGAGAGTGAGTGCTTGTGTGCTCTGTATTCACCCCCGCCCATGATTGTTTTCATCAGAAGGGCTGCAGAGAGCTGCATCCTTTGATTTGTGTCAGTATGTGTGGTCCTTTTTTACACACATAGTGGTTATGATCACCTCTTCGTGAATCATTGCTAAGAACGCTCGCATCTGTTGTTTACTTAAGCTCCCAGTCGTCTTACGGATGCAAGCCAAATTTAACTTGTAGATGTGTCTTTTGTTTGAAAATATATTCCCAAAAGATCAACTACTGTTGCATTTAACAGTTTTCTCTTCCCCCACAGCAGATGAGGTTCCCAGCTACAGCGTGACGACTCTCACTATCGTCATCGTTGCCCCCATCATCGTCCTCATTGTCCTCTCTGCTATCGCTATCCTGGTGTTCAGACGCATCCACAACAACCAAATGGAGAGGCTAACATCACGAGACGCGGAATACGGAACTATCGACGGTCTCATAGCCTCCAACGTGGGGGAGAGCACTCTGGCGGTGAGTAGGTGGAGACCATGTCGTAGGTTGCCTCCCAAGCTCATTAGAAAGAACGGTAAAGAGCGGCTGGAGGCATATTTGAACTTACTGTGTGTCGAGTATCAAATGGGGTTCTAGTGCTTTTAGCTATGCTACAGGCCATATACTGTAGCTGTTATAAAATGACCTATAGTGAGGCACAGAATGTCAGCTGTGAGAAAGAAGTTTGACTTACGTAGAGTGATGTTTAGATAGAAAACACTGTACGATCAATACAGTCAAGCTTTATGAAATAGTTCAATTCAGCAGTACAGAATATCACCGCTGAACTGTGTCTAGTTTTTGAGTATTTGGTACTCCTTTTGTATGAACATTTAAAACCAGGCATGGTGGCGACACATTCATGAAGTATGTGTTTGTGTGTGTGTATGTGGGTTGTGCTGTTGCTGGAATTCCACTCAAAACCTTGTTTGGAATCTTCTCAGTCCGTTAGATGAATGTTTCTTTCCTATTTATTTTCCCTCCACTCCACTGCGTAAGCTTTCTGCAGAGTGGTTTACGTTTTGAGGCCGGCTAAACTGATCCACAGTTTAGGTTGTGTCCTGTGGTTAGTGTTCTGTCTGCACAACCCTGCACATTCACTGGCTCACACACTGTGTAATCAAGTTCAGCAGGAACTCTCACAGCCTAGCTCGTGCCATAACAAAAAACATTGCTGTTACTGTCCATTTTGTGATCATTTAACCTAAGAAAACACACTATATTCAAAATCAGTTGTATACTTATTTACATCACATTCATCTTTAATTATGACATTATTAAATATAATGTCTAACACTTAAAGATTGATCATTGCTTTATATGTGTGTGTCTGAGAACTAAATAGCTGATATTTGATACATTTTTAGTTTTTCCAAAAGTCCATCAATGCCCTTTGCAATGGAAAGAATAAATATAGCGACACAGCATGCGAGTAAGCATAATTAAAGAGTTCTGGCAGCACCATGAGAAAGGATATTAGATACAGTGGTGTGGCTGTAAAAAGCAAATCAGGCTGACACGCGTGTGCTCGTCCCTCTGCAGCCCCCCCGCCCAGAAGTGGACTCTGACTATGATGATATTTCATCGTTCTGATTGCATTTCTGCTGCTTAACGGCCTGGCCCCAGCATAACCTCCTAAAAACAATCCTCCTGCACCAAGAGGGGGATGTAAGCCCTCTGCAGAGCAACTCATTCATTGTATGGCCTCTCATTCCTGTGTTGTGATTCCAAATGGTCTCTCAGGCAGCTTTTGCAATATGCATCTGTTTATCTGAGGCATCACTCTTCCCTGTTGTTGTCCTCCTCCTCCCCTCCCAGTTTGTTTAGCTCAGCTGCTGCCGGCTCAGTTGCTGCACACTGCCCTCCTGCGTCCGCACCGCCATGCTGCATGTCTGAAGCTGAGATAAAAATAAAAGGCTTAGCAGCATTGCACCTGTTTTCGGAGTCTGGCACTTCTTTAGATCTCCAGCACCCACAACCGTCATCAGGGAGGGGGTGGCACTTCTGTTGTTTACTCAGCAGGGGGCGCACGCACACACACACACACACACACACACACACACACACACACACACACACACACACACACACACACTGCTTGCCCCCCTCCATCCCATGTGGGTGCCTTATGAAAGGCGGCCTGCTTGTATTAGACTCCATCTGTGTCCCAGATGCTCCATACGTCATCATTTTTTAAGCTCAAACCACAGGATTCCTTTGGAAATGTTTTCATTCAGCTCACTGAGAATATAAACACAAATGTAGATGTACAGACCCTTAACTCTTTCTTTCTCATTTTCTCCATACCAGGATCTTCTGGATCATTCCTGCACTTCAGGAAGTGGCTCAGGACTCCCTTTCCTGGTTCAGAGAACTGTCGCACGTCAAATCACGCTCAATGAGTGTGTGGGTAAGTGCTCTGTTAAAGCCTCAGGAAACTCTGAATGAGCCGCTGCCCCTCTGCTGACTCGGACAGCTTCTGGCAAAAGCAAATCCGGCTCACCTTCAGTCTCAGAATGTACATCATTGTTTACCCCACATGTTGACAGAATAGCAAATCATAGATGTTCGATTTTTAGCCACTAGGGGGCAGCAGAATAAGCTGACATTTACACAGACTCAACCACAACACCGGCTTACAGAGTTGTTGTTGTTGTTGTTGTAGTGAATGAGTTGGCAGACTGATGCCTATTTAAACATCAAGTGGACACGGCTACATTAGAATGTATACAGAGTTATTTTTAAATGATAAATGTCATTTCAATACTCTCCTTCTCTCTCATTTGATTTCCTCATCTTCTGAGAAATATTAGCTTAGTGTATAATCGCAACATGTTTGACTCTCTTCCTCAGCTATTCAGAAACTTTTAACTGCTTTTGGGAACTGGCCAGCCAACATACAGTGAACTTTATTAAAGCAGAAAGTTGTCACTCAGAAAGAGCCTATGAGGCTGCAGAGTAAATATGAGTAATTATAGCGCAGCCTTTACACATTTGGAGACATCAAGTAATGCTAGTGTAGAGTATCCACGACAAAACACATCCTGCTGGCTGATTTCTATATCCGTTTGCTAACTCTCCAATGTTTTTCCTCTCCAGGTAAGGGGCGTTACGGTGAAGTGTGGAGGGGCCAGTGGCAGGGGGAGAGTGTGGCCGTCAAAATCTTCTCCTCCAGAGACGAGAAGTCCTGGTTCAGAGAGACTGAGATCTACAACACGGTGCTGCTGAGACATGAGAACATCCTGGGTGCGTACCATATTTATCTTATTCAGGCTAAATAAGCTGGGAGAACACCTACCAACATGTGTATGATAAAACAAATTCATATTAAATCTAGCATAACCATAATATGCTTCAACACAAAAAAAATGAAGAGACTAGTGAAAATAATATTTGAATTTACAAAATGATATGTTTATTAACTATGCATTACATGTTGTGTCCATCGGTTACCATTTATAGACTCAGGGACAGTTTCATCCCACAGGCCATAACACTGTTAAACACAAGAACATCCATAAACATTCATCTGTTTGCATCTTACAAAGTATTTATCTATAATATCATATTCCATTTACTTGTAGGGTCTTCTTACACTATTTATATTCTATTTTATTTGTATTTACTTGCACTATTTTATCAGTTGTATTTGTCCTATGTCCTATATATGTTGCACTGTTGGAGGAGCCTGTGACCTAAGTTTTCATTGACATATCTTCACTGTAGCTAATGTGCAAATGACAATAAAGCCTTGAATTGAATTTATAGGGTTTGCAAAAACCATTGTTATTAATTGCAATGATATTTCTCTCAATGTAGGCTTCATAGCTTCAGACATGACCTCGAGGAACTCCAGCACTCAGCTGTGGCTGATCACTCACTTCCATGAGATGGGCTCCCTGTACGACTACCTCCAGCTCAGCACCCTGGACGCCTCCAGCTGCCTGCGCATGGCGCTCTCCATCGCCAGCGGCCTGGCACACCTGCACGTGGAGATCTTTGGCACCCAAGGGAAACCTGCCATCTCACACCGAGACTTAAAGAGCAAAAATATATTGGTGCAAAAGAACGGACAGTGCTGCATTGCTGACCTTGGTGAGAATACGGACCAATCTTTATCTTAAATAGCCTGTGTATTATTTAGTATTCATTTCCCTACTCCTTTTATTCCAATAGCTGGGAAAGTTTAACTTGTTTTTTACTTTAAAGAAGGGTGTAGGACCAATCTGTTCACAGAAATGTACTACAGATCCCATAATAAATGTGTCAGGATGGAATTTGATGAAAAGTAGATATAATACTAACATGAGATTGAATGGCCAAGCTATAAATATGGTTTCAGTAAATAACTAATACAAAAACATGTTGACCACCTCAAAGCTACTGAAGGGGTTGATAAAAGGTTGAGGCTCATGGGTAATGTAGATATTGCACAAGAGATGCATCTGCAGTAACTTCACACTACTCTCATCTATCCGCTTGGCTATATTTGTCGTCAACTCAGGAAAAACAACCTCTGCTTAAATGTACCACCCGGGCGCCCTAATCAAAAACACATTAATGATGACCTCGGTCCACTTTATCCAATACCCCAATGTTCCATCTACAGGTGCTTGGGAAAAAACCAAATGGAGGTACAAGCCATAACCCGGCGACTGGCTTGGCATGTTTACAGGCTCGATGTAATAGGTGTTGATCCGGATGACGCATTTTGCTGTTTTGAAAACATGGTAGCAGTTGTTTGTCTCCCAAGCGAGTTGTTCTTAGGTTGGAGATACATCCGGTGGGAACAGAGCTGTTTACAACTAACAAGTAGTGTTTCAGCATTTAAATCAGCTGCTGGAGTGAGTCGAGTGTTTTGTTTTTTTACTATAGTTATAGAGAGATGGGAAGCTTTATCAATCAAAGAAGTATTGTTCTTATTGTTACTTCACTTGGCTTGAGCTTCATTGTGCGGAAGGACTTTTTTTCTGCTCACTTTATATGTCTTGTGTCTTGAGGTAAAACTTTTAAATGTTCTGTGTTTTTTACGCTAGGTCTGGCTGTCATGCATTTTCAAGACACCAACGAGTTAGACGTGGGAAACAACCCTAAAGTGGGCACAAAGCGCTACATGGCCCCTGAAGTGCTCGATGACTCCATCCAGATGGACTGTTTTGAGTCCTTCAAGAGAGTGGACATCTGGGCTCTGGGACTCGTGCTGTGGGAGCTCGCCCGGAGGACAGTCAGCAACGGTCAGTGCACGTTTCACACAACATGATCCTTCTGCATTCAAAGTATTCCCATCTTAATATTATGATCAATTATTTCCCTCAGTTCCAACACATTTGCTTTCCCTATTAGCAGTATATTGTTAGTAGTGATAGAGATTTGAGATAGTGTTTTCTTTTGTTTTTAAGTAAATAAATCATTGTGAACTAGGCCAAAATAATCCACAAATACGTCATCTATAGAACATTTATTTATTTATAATATATTATTGATATCCTTCAATATGATTTTAAAGGTCACCTATTATGCAAAATCCACTTCTTCATGTCTTTTATCCATAAACATGTGTCCCCTCTGTGTAAAGAGATTCTGAACGTTTCAGGAAAAAAAGATTCGCTCACTTTTTGTCCTGATCCATTTACATAAAAACCTGTCTGAAAATGAGCTGATCAGATTTTGGCCACTTTGTGATGTCATAACAATGTTTTGGCTTGTGTAACCATTAGCCAATCAGCAACCAAGGTAAACCCCCCCCCACCTTATCACCTGAATCTCCTCCTAGAGCACCATTGTGTTCTTTTTAACCAAATATCTCTCAGAGGGGCGTGAGGAGTGGCTCCTTATTTCCATCTAAAGTAACACACAGAGAATCAGCACTTTTGAAACAGGGCTGAAACCGAGGGGATTATGGGATGCTACTGTTGTGGAGATCCAGCATAACACAACAGGAAAGAATGAAACAGAGAGGAATCAATAAAACACAAACACAGATATAGCTGATAAGTAATTATTATTTAGTTGTTGCAACAAACAAACAATAATGGGAAGTACATCACCTGCTGCCACAGCAGCCAATCGCGGAAATGCCCCCAAGAACAGAAGAAAAACAGGGCTAGATATACTTTTCTAAATGACACACGAACATGTTCCCCAAACATGTTTAACGCACACACATTTTATCATGCAGCCAACCACACAAATGTCACATGTTTTTCTCTCTGAAAGCTATACCTGTATACAGGGGCGTCGCCTGGACCTGAAAACATTCGGGGCTTAGCCCACAGTGGCGGCGGCACTACAGTGGCATTTTTTACTGCAACACGCACACACACACAGTACACCCGCGACTGTTACAATGAAGGCTCGATAATCAGCTCACCGGCATATAGGCAGGGGTAAAGTGGTATTTTTTATGAGTGGGGGGCTCACCTCCTCGTGGGGGGTCCGGGGGGATGCTCCCCCGGGAAGATTTTTTTTTTAAATATTGAAGTTAAATGCATCAATCTGGTGCACTTTGAGAGCAAAATGAAGAGATCTATGGATACCTCTCTCAACACCCATATGAAGCAGAACTGTAAACAGATGTACTTTTTCTTTATGGATATTTTACTAATCACTCTCCTTTTAAACTCTATTCTTGTTTTACTGCCATATAGTATTTCATAACTGTTTTTCCTTTATTCTCTTTTTTTTAATAACTATAATGATCATATGAAGGTGTGCCGCGGAAATAATCTTTTGAATAATTTGTGACCAAACCGTTTGAGACCCACTGAGATAACTTAGACTAAAGTTAACTATCTAAACACTCAGAGAGTCCTTTAGCTCACCTGAGTCTCTCAGTCTGAGAGGAGAGGACTCTCCTCCAGCTTCTTGTGGAACAAACAGCTCCTTATGTCCGTTAGTGCAGCTAGCTAACCAGATGCTAACAACACGGTCCATGCTGACACCGGTCTCTCCCTCCCCCTCTCTCCCCCTCTCTCTCTCTCTCTCACATGCGCTATTGCCACACACACACACAGAGCCGAGCTTGAATGACACACGTTTATTTCCATGCAACTCTCTGATTGGTCTGGTGTCATGCCTCTGTTGCATTCACTGAACACGGGAAATTACAGTGCTGCCGTCCTCTCTTGTGTCATGATGAGGTTCACGTAAAGCACGGTTAATGTATTATATTATTGAGGGAGAATTGTCCGGGGCTACAGAAAAAACATTCGGGGCTAAAGCCCCGGATGCCCAGGCCAGGCGACGCCACTGCCTGTATATGTTTAAACGTCATCATCTCATGACATCTTTAGGATTAGTTAACTAACAAAGGTTAACTGTTTCTATAACCCGAGGCCTTCTCTGAACTTCCTATACCCTCGGTGTCAGCTCACTTAAAATGAATACATCTATTGATAATTCAGAACGACCATTGTCTCTCTAACTGTGTGTGACCCAACTCAGTAACACACATCATATGGAATACCATGTGATCATTAATGAATATCAGAAATACGCTGTATTAAACATTCTGCCATAACACTACAATGCACGATCTGTTTGGTATTTGGAGCCAAACACTTCAGAGACATGTCTTGTATATATCTGAGACCTATAATATATTGATGAAAAACAGTATAATAGGAGACCTTTAAACATTTACTTATTATAATCATTAGGGATGAGCGTCATAATCATGATTCCAATATTTCATTTTTAAGCGTCAAGGTTATCTTCAGTATCGATTTATTACAACCTCTATTTTGTGGTTCTTTTCAGAATGAATAGAGAATCATTGCTTTAAAGCTGACAAAGTAAAAGCTTTCCTGCTGTTGATGGAAAGATTTGGCCTTGATACACACTTCAATATCAGCTGCCTGTGGTCTGTGGAGAAGACTTATGTGAAATAAAAGCTACAACCACTGTCAAATGGGTTTATGGCTTTATAGTAGGCACTGGGCTTTCAGCAACACTTCAGATATTGATTTACCCCAACACGGTAACCTAATCTTTGTTTGTCCCACGGCTGCACTTTAGAGCCAGCAAAGGATAAAACAGCTATGCCACATCAAGAGTTTTCATACACCTTTGTGTGTTTTGTGTGTCAGTTATTTGCCAATATAGATTCTTACACTTTGTTTTAAACAATTGAGTGATCTTTAAATTGAATGGCTGCATGCTCTGTTCTACCTGTAGGCATTGTAGAAGAATACAAGCCTCCCTTTCACGACGCCGTCCCAAGTGATCCCAGTTTCGAGGACATGAAGAAGGTTGTGTGTGTTGATCAGCAGAGGCCCAACATCCCTAACAGATGGTTTTCAGACCCCGTAAGTCATGTTCAAGCTATCAGAAGTGTTCAAAGATTGCATGCTTAGGATATACAAAAAACAACAACATTCATTTCAGTTATATTCTGGTTTGTACACGGATGATTAATTCGTTTTTTCTCAATTTACTTTCAGACTTTACTGTCCATGGCTAAACTAATGAAGGAGTGCTGGTACCAGAATCCTTCCGCCAGATTAACGGCGTTACGCATCAAAAAGACTCTCACAAAGATCGACAACTCTCTGGACAAAATCAAAACAGACATTTAAGCCTGCCTTGAGAAGAAGAGGTAGACATACTGAAGACAACCAGAGGGTGGACCACCCTGGAGACATCTCACAAGACAAGAGACTTGATGGGTTCAGTGCCCTTATAGTGGCACACAAACCTATATTTATTTAAAAAACACTTGACGGGACAGATTTTGGCATCCAAAGATGGCTTACCGGGCATTTCTGAGACTGCCAAAGGTCTTGGAGATAGGAAAATATATCTATTCAACTTGTGACATAGGAGCTGGACTGTTAGCAATGTTCTCCGAGGAAGAAACTGTTACCTAGGCATTTGAGTAGGCTCGCTTTTGTTAGAACTGCAGATTTTGACACATTTTTTTGTTTAAAAAAACGTCTGAACATATTAGCATTTTCACTTTCTCTTTTAAATTGTACTTTATTCACCATTTGCATAACGGTGGATTCCTTTGCAAAAGAACATGCCAACTTTATTTGCCAATTAAATCTGCATACTTTCTTAAAAGGAGACCACAGCGAGCAGTGTGATGTTTTACTTTGTGTCATGCACCTGTTTACAATGCTGTCTGAACAGGATTCCTGGGATCTCACTAATCCCTTAACGTTTAGTGTACAGCTGCATCGATGGCACTGTTGTTTTCCTGAGATATCGTCCAACTAAAGGTACCTTGTTGCAAACCTTTTGTATATCACCATTCATTTTACATTGAATTACCTGTACCTGTTCTATGTTTTGTTTCTTCAGCTTTACAGAGACAAATGCTAAAAGAACAAATCAAATATCTGCTAGATACTGAACTCTATTCCTCCAGAGGCTGTAAGTAAGCCTGTAAAGCCTGTATACTGTCTTAACGCGTGCATTGTTGTCTTAATGCGTGCATTGTCAAGTAAATGAAGTCAAACTTCAGCCTTTTTTATTTCTTTAACATTTTATATCAATTAGTGATTTATTATAATTAAATAGAAAAAAATGTGTTTTATTTGTCTCATTTGTCTTGTTGCTCTATCCAGTGGATGTATTTATTTGATGATTGTCCACTTTGGTCAAGCCTGAAATATCATTTTATGGTTTTAAGTGAAGTGTCTAACCAATTGCCGTTGACCATATAACCCTAACCCTGTAATATATCAGCTGTTTCTACTAGGTAACTTGTTTATTTTTGAGGATCTTTAATATCATTAATGTAGTTTTAAGTACTCTCAACCGGTTTCAAATCAAGCCCCATCCACCCCCTTCTAACTATTCAGTCATGTACCTTTCCAAAGAATCAGAATCGGATTTATTACCAAGTAGGTTTACACATATGAGGAATTTGCTTTGGTATACGTATACGTATACAAAGACGAAATAAAATACAATTGTACTGTTATAACAGCTATTTAAAAACACTATTTTGAGATTATTATAACAAGTTAACAATATTTACACAAAATATAATGTGAGCAAAAAGGTTCAGTCAAATATAATAAGATATGACAAATACTTAAATAGTGTATTTAAAGTGGAGAGCTGTGCTGATCTAAAAGAGGTAGGTTGGAGAAGAAATGTGCAACATGCAGGATTTACAAAGGAAGCTAAAACTCACATTTATATTCCAGCCTTTATTTTTGACACTACTGGTTAAAGGTTTACACGGAATTAATTCACGAATGTGCATTTATGTATACCTTATTGCTGCATAAAGCTTGACATCTTCACTGATAATTCAATGAATCAAGAAAATGTCAAAAGCAAAGGTGTTTTCCTTGCCAGCTGTAGACTGAAACGGCTTGCGCAGCAGGTATCTTGGCAGATGTCAAACAGAAACTGGGCCCCTAATGTTTCTCAGACTGATTAATATGCAAGAGGGGAGTTATGAGCCAGATGACACAAACACTAACAGTAGAGGTCTGACAGTGCTGAGACTGCTTGCTTTTATCAACAGCGTTCAGGCTTTCTATGTATTGTGTCTCTATATTCAGTGTCATTTGATCCATCCTGCTCTCACAGAACACAAAGGTTAGACTCCAGTTTCTAAATCCCATCGTGTTTTACCCATTTTTCCAATGGATTTGTAAACATGCTGTGAACTTCTATGTACTAACAACTAAGACAAGGAAAGATATGATCTGTTTATGAATCATTGCAAATTCTTTTTGTATGGCTAACTTGAAAACAAAAAAAAATCCATCTGGATTATTCATACACATTTCACAGTATTATTGTCCCAGGACAGAAACAAAGTTCCTGAAATCACTAATTGTAGATATAGATGTGTTAGTTGATAGTGAAGTAGAATATGTAATGTATCACTATGTACTACACATAGACTGCAGACTTTGCTGTAATTAAATGGAAACAGTACATGTTGTGCTCATGTGACAGAGTTTTCTCCCTGGTGACACTGGCACCTGTTGTTGCTATGGAGCCCGAGCAGCAGAAACACAGCTTGGTCCCATATGGCCTGCAGTAAATAACGTATTACATGCAGGTGAGTTGAGCTATAACTTCTGCATTGAGCTTAATGTAAAGCAGACTTCCTGTGTTTACTCTCTGCTTGGTTGGATGGGATGTTAGCAGTGCTGTTGGGTTGTTCTGTTTTGCTGACCTGAGTTCTGCTCTCCTCCAGTGAGAGGAATTGTAAAGGCAACAGGGGAGCAGGAGATGGCTGGATACCAACCAGGCGAAGTTGGAAACTGCCAATCAAACAAACTTTAAAATGAGTTCATACCTCCAAAGTGCAGTAATATTTGGTTCCACATTATTGCCTGATCTTGCAGCCCTGTTCTACAGATGATTTATGTGTGAAAAACAAGATTCAAGACGTCGTTTTATTTTTTAATGTGCTCATAAGATATTTATTCCTTCATATAGAGGTGTTTATCAAACGAGAACAAACTTACTGACGGACAACTCCAAGCAGGTATTATTCCAGCACAGGAATACCGAAATATCCCTGGTTAAATTACAAAATGGTCTTCTATAATCTGCTATGTGCACTCTATTAATGGGAATTTAGAGGAGATAGGGACCGGTAATTGTTGTACAATAAATGGAACAGCAGCATCTTACCTTGACCAAGTGCCCACAAACTGGTAAAAAAGGTCATTTGAAAATATTGATGTAGTATGTTGGCATACACATTACCTTTGCTGTTTGTTCCTACTGTCGTTGTAACACTCTGGATTAAATAATATCCTCTGTTAAAAGGATGTGCAACACACTTCTCCCTGGCTCTCGTTCACATGTCTTTATCAGAGGTCTGCAGCACTAATCCTCTTAAATTCCCGTCAACAGAGGCGGAGCAAACCTCTCTCTGCGAACACACTTCCCTCTCCGCATTTACTGAGGAGCATCTTTGAGAGATGCATGGACCACGGACATTACCGCAATGAGAGATGGTGTGTGTTGTTGTAGACTAGCTGTGTGACGGAGGGTCTGACTCGGAGCAGATGCGGCTCTTGCCATGGTTCGTCCCGGGAAGCAGAGCGTTGAAGCGGCGTTGATCTTCCTGTCTGTCGCCCAGCTCACCGCAGGTACAGTACCTGCATTGCACCGCATTTATCTATCAAGGTGTTATGTGACTTAGTAAAAATCTTACCTCATAAATGGCTGGTTTATTGGGATTAATAGTTAACTATTGTTGACTTTTGAAATCCCTCATATTGTTTCAGGGAGATTAAATCGTCCATGTCCCCAAACATGTTCCCAAACAACATGAATTACGTTTATTTAACTTTGAAGGAGACTTTTTCTTTACCAATAAACTCAACTTTACACCTTTATAAATGTTCTCTTCTTTCTTCTAATCTTTTATCCGCATTAGGCTTAAATTATATTGCTTTTAAAGCTCTGAAGGCAAAGACTATTTCTTCTTAAATAATAACGTCCCTCCAGGTAAGGCCTGAATATTGTTCCGTTTATGTCGCATGTGGTATTGACCACGTGTTTGCCCAAAGTAGCGTACATTTAAACATAGAGTGCTTTGTCAAAAACTGTTTGGCAGTTCTGGGATTTATCCCAAACTTTCAGAAAGTAGAGTGTTACCATTTCCCAGTGAGTACCCATGCTGTAAAATTAAGCTCAAATCATGGTGTCACTTATTGGGTAAAAAAAAGAGTTTAAGATATTAAATGTTATGGTTTTATATAGCGGGATATTTTTGTTTTTTTTACTTGAACATAGTGTGTTTGGCTAGCTTCTCCAATGTATGAAGCTTTTTGTTTTCATTTTTAATAGAAAACTAAATATCTTTGGGTCTCAAAGTCCTGGTCATACAAAAAATAAACCATTTGAAATCAGCATCTTGGGATTTAGGGGTTGTGATTTGCACATGTCATAATTATTTTACAATTTAAAGCTAGATTATTCATCAGTTATGAAATTCTTATTTGTTGCAACCTTAATTGATACTGCAAGTGTCGGTCTGAAGGCTGGTTGGCTGTATTATAAAATGCATTGCAAATAAATTGCACTGCTTGTTGTCAACACAAAGCCTCCTCCTCCTCACTGATGAATTATACCTGTGATTTATGTACTGCTGTCTGTGTCTGTCCTGCTCTGATAAATAGGTGTGACTGAAAGTTGTTCTGTTTGATAAGGTTAACGGTTGCAGTGTGCTGAAACCTTCCTTTGTTTTTGGCTACAAATGGTGCAGACTTTAAATAAGACATTATGACCAACTTATAAGAAGTGAATAGATAAGTGATAGAAGTTAGAACCCCACTTATTGAACACTTTCTTTCGTAAAATAAATTAAACGCAAACATTCAGCTGATCAGCAATGTGTTTTCTTTAAGGTGCCCTCATTTTGGGTTGTATACTACATTAAAATGAAGAATATGCTTGTGAGTTTTTTAAATGTTTAAATAGTCAGTCAATAGTCAGTATGTTGTTTTTGCTGATATATTTTGAGAGATTAACATTGTTCTTTATTTCCTGTTTCCCTAACTGAACACTTTAGCTGTTTATGACACCCATTCTAAAGAATAATTCATTTGTATAAAGTATAACTATAAACAATGGAGAAAAATGTAATAACCTCCCTGCCACCTCACATGCCATTGACAATTGTGTTACCTTTCTTTAAGAAAGTGTTTAAAAAGACCAACCTTGTTTTTGTAAATAATCAATGTGCTTCAAAAAGTTGTTGCCAAGCACAGGGCCGTATCCAGGATTTCCTCGAGATTTTGGGGGTCACAAATTGGATACTATATTGATTTCAAACCATGTCAGTGGGCTGCAGCATAAATTATTTTTGAAAGTGTAATGCATAAGAATCAGTTGATTGTTACATATTAATGATCTGGACATGCAGAAGAGGCTAAAATGATCACTAAACATTGTCAACATTCATTTTCCATGTCTCTCTCCTTCCCATAACCTGCACCCTCTCTTCCATCTTCTTAAGTCTCTCTGTCTTCTTCCTGTTCATTACTCTCTCTCTCCTCTACTCTTTCTCTTTGTTCAATCTCTCCCTCGTTGTTCACTTTTTGCTCCTCCTCACTTGTCGCTCCTGCCAGTGAATTAAAAGCAATTTAGTTCATTTCACTTGTTGGTTTGCATTTTTTTAAATCTGTTTTTGTTTGATTCTCAAAAGAGAACAAAGATGTAAGCAAATTGTGTTTTATACAATCGTATATTATTATGACATCATAACTGCAATAGATGTATGTTGTTTTAAAATTATGCCTATTGTCTATATTGTAAACGAAGACTATTGTTATAGATAGATAGATGGATAGATGGGGTTATTAAGCCTACATTCTTTTGTGTGACTGTACCTGCAGTTCCTCCCTGACTTCCTTCACTTTCTCTCTCTCTCTTTCTCTGCCTGTCCTGTCTCTTCCTTACCAAAGCTGAGCTTCGACTGACGTAGTCTTTTCATTATATCTGAGTCAGTGTAAAAAGAAAACAATACAATGTTATATCTTCAATATTTTCTCAAATTGAAATGAAAGAAAAGCATTACAACGTTTGTTATAAGGTAATCCTT